ACTGAACACGAACAGAAGGAAAACTCTTCGATCTCAACTGACAATCCTGCCGGTCTAGAATAGCTATCGGCTCCTCCTCATAAGACAAGTCCTTGTCCAAGTGGATAATGCTGAAATCTAACACGTGGGATGGATCGCAGTGATCTTTCCGAAGCATGGACACATGAAACATTGGATGCACGGATGATAAGCTCGGCGACAACGCAAGTCTGTAAGCCACCTCTACCACTCGTTCAAGAATCTCAAACGGACCAATGAACCTAAGGCTAAGCTTGCCCTTCTTCCCAAATCTAATCACGCCCTTCATAGGCGACACTCGAAGCAATACTCGCTCACCGACCATGAATGCCAAATCTCGAACCATGCGGTTGGCATAAATCTTTTGCCTGGACTGAGCTGTACGAAGCCAATCCTGAATAATCCTAACCTTGTCCAAGTCATCCTGCACTAGATTCGTACCCAAAAATCGAGATTCTCCTGGCTCGAACCATCCAACCGGCGACCGACACCGCCTACCATACAAAACCTTGTAAGGAGCCATCTGGATACTCGACTGGTAGCTATTTTTATAGGCAAACTCTCCTAAAGGCAAAAACTGATCCCACGAGCCTCCAAAATCAATAAAAAAAGCTTGGAGCATATCCTCCAAAACCTGAATGGTCCGCTCGGACTGCCCATCCATCTGAGGATGAAATGTTATGCTCAACTCAACCTGTGTGCCTAACTCTCATTGAACTGCCCTCCAGAAGCGTGAGGTAAACTACGTACCTCGGTCCGAAATGATAGACACGGGCAGACCATGAAGACGAACTATCTCCCGGATATAGATCTCAGTTAACCTTTCGGAAGAATAGGATACTGCCATAGGAATGAAATGTGTTGACTTGGTCAGCCTATCAAAAATAACCCACACTGCATCAAACTTCCTCTGAGTCTGTAGGAGTCCAACAATGAAATCCATAGTGATCCGCTCCCACTTCCACTCGGAAAGCTCAATCCTCTGAAACAAACCACCGGGCCTCTGATGCTCGTACTTAACTTGCTGACAATTTAAACACCGAGCCACATATGCAACGATATCCTTCTTTATTCTTCTCCACCAATAATGCGGCCGCAGATCCTGATACATCTTCGCGGCGCCCGGATGAATAGAGTACTGGGAACTATGGGCCTCCTCTAAAATCAACCCTCAAAGTCTATCTATATTAGGCACACAAACTCGACCCTGCAATCTCAAAACTCCATAATCTACTAAGGTAACCTGCTTGGCATCTCCATGTTGCACCATGTCTCTAAGGACACACAAATGGGGATCATCATACTACCGATCTTGGATATGCTCCAATAATGAAGAACGAGCGATTGTGCAAGCTAACACATGGCTAGGATCAGAAACATCCAACCTCACGAACTGATTGGCCAAAGCCTGAACATCCAAAGCAAGCGGTCTCTCACCGACCAGAATATATGCAAGACTGCCCATACTGGATGACTTCCTATTCAAAGCATCGGCCACCACATTGGCCTTTCCCAGATGATATAAGATGGTGATATCACAGTCCTTTAATAGCTCCAACCACCTTCTCTGCCTCAAATTCAACTCCTTCTGTTTGAACAAGTATTGCAGACTCTTGTGATCCGTGAACACCTCACATGACACCCCATATAGATAATGCCTCAAAATCTTCAATGCGTGGACAATAGCTGCTAACTCCAAATCATGGACCGGATAGTTCTTCTCATGAATTTTCAACTGCCGCGAAGCATAGTCAATGATCTTTCCATCCTACATCAATATCGTACCATGTCCAATACGAGATGCATCACAATAAACTGTATATGGACCTGAACCTGTGGGCAAAACAAACACCGGTGCCGTAGTCAGAGCTGTCTTGAGCTTCTGAAAGCTCACCTCGCACTCGTCTGACCATCTGAACTGGGCACCCTTCTAGGTCAACCTAGTCATCAGGGATGCAATAAATTAAAACCCCTCCACAAACCGACAATAATAGCCTACCAATCCCAAGAAACTCCGGATCTCTGTAGCTGATATTGGCCTAGGCCAGTTCTTGACTGCCTCTATCTTCTTAGGATTAACCTGAATACCCTCTGCTGATAAAACATGACCCAGGAATGCAACTGAACTCAACCAGAACTCGCACTTCGAAAACTTGGCATACAACTGACTGTCCCTCGAGTTTGAAGAACCACTTTAAGATGCTGCTCGTGCTCCTCCCGGCTGCGGGCATAGATCAAAATATAATCCATGAAGACTATCACGAATGAATCCAAGTAAGGCCTGAACACCCGGTTCATCAAATCCATAAAAGCTGCTCGGGCATTTGTCAACCCGAATAACATCACCAAGAACTCATAATGCCTATACCGAGTGTGGAAAGCTGTCTTAGGGACTTCGGATGCCCTAATCCTAAACTGATGGTAGCCAGATCTCAAGTAAATCTTCAAAAATACCTTGGCATCCTGAAGCTGATCAAACAAATCATCAATCCTCGATAATGGATACTTATTCTTGATTGTAACCTTTTTCAACTACCGGTAATCAATACACATCCTCATCGATCCATCCTTATTATTAACAAACAACACCGGCGCACCCCAAGGAGAAATACTAGGTCTAATGAAACCGTTCTCAAGCAAGTCTTGCAATTGCTCCTTCAACACATTCAACTCAGGCGGCCCATATGATACGGCGGGATAGAAATAGGCTGACTGCCCGGAGCCAAATCAATCCAAAAGTTAATATCCCTGTCGGGTAGCATGCCCGACAGGTCTAAAGGAAATACCTCAGGAAACTCACGAACAATAGGCAGAGAATTAGTAGAAGGAACCTCAACACTAGAATCACGAACATAAGCCAAATAGGCCAAACACCCTTTCTCGACCATACGCCGAGCCTTCATGTAAGAGATAACATTACGGGTAGAATGACCAGGAGTCCCTCTCCACTCTAAACGAGGTAAACCTAGCAAGGCTAAGGTCATAGTCTTGGCATGACAGTCCAAGATAGCATGATACAGTGATAACCAATCCATCCTCAATATGACATCGAAATTAACCATGTCCAGAAGTAACAAATCTACACGAGTCTCAAGACCTCCAATCACAACTATACATGAAAGATGGACTCAATCTACCATAATAGAATCACCCACCGGTGTAGACACATAACCAGGAGCACTCAAAGAATCACTAGGCATGAGAAGATACGATGCAAAATAAGATGACATATAGAAGTATGTAGATCCTGGATCAAATAAAACTGAAGCATCTTTGCTACAAACTAGAACAATACCTGTGATAACTGCATCAGAAGACTCAGCCTCGGGCTTGGCTGGAAGAGCATAACATCGGGGTTGGGCCCCACTACCCTAAACTACATCTCTGGGACGACCTGCTGTTGGTAGCACGGCCTCGGCCTTGCCCTCTGCCCCTTGTGGGAGCTGCTTCTGGGGGCTCGGGTTGCTGGTCAGTGGATGAGGAAATGCGTGCTCTCGCCATCTGCAAAAGAACAGAGTAGAACTTCAATTAGCATTGAGAAACCAAACTGCAGGACAAGAAAGAATAAATATGAAGTTTTTTTTCCTAACTCTATAGCCTTTGGGGGATAAGTATAGACGTCTCTGTACCAATCCCTCAGACTCTACTAAGCTTGTCTGTGAACTGTGAGACCCATGTAACCTAGAGCTCTAATACCAACATGTCACGACCTGGATTTCCCACCCTCGGGAGTCGTGATGACGCCTACTAATGTGAGCGAGGCAAGCCGACTGTTTGAACAAATTACCTTTTTACCAATTTATATTCTTTAACAATTATAAAGTAATAATGTGTAGACAACGGAAATTACAATAAGCGGAAGAAACTATCTAATACATTAGCGCTGTGTGAGCTTTTGTTGGCTGTAGTAACTTTTAGCTCTTTCTTCCGCTTTTCCAAGAATGGAATCTGCAACCAAGCATGTGATTGTGGTGAAAGTCATGGTTCGTACCGGATCCAGAGGAAAGGTGACTCAGGTGAGAGTCAAGTTTCTTGACGACCAAAATAGGTTTATCATGAGAAATGTCAAGGGACCAGTCAGAGAGGGTGATGTTCTCACACTGTTGGAGTCTGAGAGGGAGGCCAGGAGATTGCGATGAGGGCATAATTATGAATGCCATATTGAAATTGCCTTGAGTACTTGTACTGGCTTTGATTTAGTCTTCAGTTTTTTTTGCTCAGACTCATAATTTTCAACATGTTTTTAACAATGATAGTCGTGTAATTTGGGTGCACTTCAAGTTTTTGGAATAGTTTATGATAATATTTTGCTAAAAAAAATATGTATCTAATACAACTGTTTGAGCCTCGACCCCCCAGAACTGGTGTCACAATTTCACAAACGATCTAAGAATACTACATACAAAGTTTGAAAGATAAAAGATACACTGTTTATGAACTAAGTAAATGAAACAGGAGTAAAGGGATAGAGGGAGACGCCAAGGCCTGCGGACGCCCACATGACTACCTTGGATCTCTGCGTGGACTGAAGGCAGCTACCCAATCTACGATCCAAAGGTTGCTGCTCCGGGATCTGCACACAGTGCAGAGTGTAGTATCAGCACAGCTGACCCCATGTGCTGGTAAGTGCCTAGCCTAACCTCGGCGAAGTAGTGCCGAGGCTAGGAATAGACTACCAAATAAACCTGTGCAGTTTAAGTATATACAACAGAAAATAAGAACAATAATATACAGTCAAGTATGGGAAGGGTAACATGATGCGTACAATTATCAATTTAGAATAGAACAACGGGTAATTAAAAGAAACAACATATATCAGATATCAACAAAGAATCAGGAATCAATAAGTGCACGACATCACCCTTTGTATTTTTACTCTCGTCCTCACCAAAGCAATCAAGTAATGAAAATGTGCACGGCATCACCCTTCGTGCTTTTACTCTCGTCCTCACCATATAATCAATATAATCGGCACGGAATTTTACATCGTGCGGCACGGCATTACCCTTCGTGCTTTACACTCTTTCCTCACAAATCATACACGGCATCACCATTCGTGCTTTAACAATCTCTCACCAAAACAATACACGGCATCACCCTTCGTGCTTTAACGCTCTTCCTCACCCAAACAACAATCACAAACAATAGGGTAAGGGAATAAATGAAGTTACAATAAGAATCCCGGCAAGAAAACAATAGTTCAACAATCAAGTCCCGGCGAGGGAACAACATCATAAGAAGCATCAACATCCCGGCTAGGGAGATAACATTAAAAGCAAGAATATCCCGGCAAGGGAGATAATATAATGATTCTCTTCTCTTTTTCACTTTTACTTCACAACTCACTTTACAACTTGAGTCAATGCTTTAAAAGGTTCAATTACCACTTATACTTTCACATTTCATTATACAACTTGAGCCAATGCTCCTTAGAGTTCAAATGTCACAATTACTTCCACAAATTTTGCCCAGCAATAGAAATCATCACCAATGCATGAGTAATACAACAAAGTCATAATAATCACAATATAAGACTCACGGGCATGCTTGACACCAACGTATAGATACCACATAGAAAATAGGACTCGACTCATAATCCCTCAAGCTAAGGTTAGACCAAACACTTACCTCGATGCCACGAACACAATTCAAGCCTCAACTATCGCTTTACCTCTTGATTCCACCACCAATTCGCTCGTATCTAGACACAAGTTACTTAATTACATCAATAAATGCTAAATGAATCACTTCTAATTCATGAAAATGAGTTTTCTAAAGTTATACCAAAAAAGTCAAAAATTGCCCCCGGGCCCACATAGTCAAACGCGAGATTCGAACCAAAACTCGATCACTCATTCCCCTACGAACTCAAATATATAATTTGTTTTGAAATCGGACCTCAAATCGAGGTCCAAATTCCCAATTTTTGAAAAACCTAGGTTCTACCCAAAACACCCAATTTCCCCCATGAAAATCATTGATTTTGAGTTGAAATCATGTGAAAAGATGTTAATGATTGAAGAAAACGAGTTAAAATTGACTTACAATAGATTTAGAAGAAGAGTTGTCTTTGAAAAATCGCCCAAAAGTATTTTGGTTTTGAAAGAGTGTGAAAAATGGAAGATTTTCGGCTAAGTTATAAAATTGCAGGTTGCAGATGCCACAATTGCGACCAGGGTTTGCAATTGCGAACCCAGACTTCTGCTAAGCTCACATTTGCGAAGTGACCCTTGCATTTGCGAGGTCGAAATTGCGAACATACAATCGCATTTGTGATAACATGCCCAAATGGGGAGTATCACATTTGCGAAGGAAAATCTCGCATTTGCGAGAAGGGCTGGCATGAGCTGTTTCGCATTTGCGACTCAGCCTTCGTATTTGCGAACTCGCATTTGCGAGCCAGGCTTCGTAAATGCGAAACCTAGCGGCCTACAATGAAACAGCTGAAGCCTGCAATTTCTCAAGTCCAAAATCCACCCCGTGGCCTATCTAAAACTCACCCGGGCCCTCAGGGCTCCAAACCAAACATGCACACCTACCTAAAAACATCACACGGTCTCGTTCGAGCATTCGAATAACTAAAATAATCTCAACAACTATGAATTTAACATCAAAATCATGAAATTTCTTAAGAACTTCAAATTTTTCCAAATTTTCTCAAATACGATCCGATTCACGTCATTTCAAGTCTGTTTCTTACCAAATTTCACAGACTTATCTTAAATTACATATAAGACTGTACCGGGCTCCGGAACAAAAATATGGGCCCGATACCATCAAACCTTAAACACATTTCACTTTCAAAAACTCATAAATATTCGAGAAAATAATTTTCTTTACAAATTCATTTCTCGGGCTTTGGACCTCGGAATTTGATTCCGGGCATACGCCTAAGTCCCATATTTTTCTACGTACCCTCCGGGACAGTCCAATTACGGGTCCGGGTCCGTTTATCCAAAATGTTGACCGAAGTCAATTTAAATTTATTTTAAAGCTGAAATTCATCATTTTTCAAAGATTTCCACATATTAGCTTTCTGACTGTGCGCCCGGACTGTGCACGCAAATCGAGGTGAGATAGAAAGTTGTTTTTTTAAGGCCTTGGAACGCAAAAATTATTTTTAAAACAAGTGATGACCTTTTGGTTCATCACAAAATATATGAGAAACAGAAGATTAAACACAGAAAGGCATCAAACAATTTGTAAAAAGAAATTCCGGAAACCCTAGTTTAGGAAAAAAGTGAAAATCCTTTGAAAATCAAACGATTCTTATAAGAATCTTAGGGTTGTTGTAAAATTCACATAAAACAAACCCAAATCACCTCAGATCTATACAAATCTAAGAGGTTTAGAAAAAAATTAGGGTTTCGAAGAGAACGGTATAGAGATGAAGAAACATACTAAAAAAACTCATAGATCGTAGTCAATATAGGATGATCTTACTCGGAATCACACTGGAATGGCCTGAAACAGGCGAGGGAGGAACCATAGATGCAAGTCACCAGCCTTGGTCCCTTGGGGGCCCTGGAGATGGCAAGGTTAACGTGAGGGAGGCCATTGGAGGCCTGGGAGGTGGTAAGGAGTCATCGGAAATGTCCATGGACGAGGGTCAGTGAGATTGGATTAGGGTTAGGTTGAGAGCGTTTGAGAGCAGAGGGAACTGAGGGCGGCGGAGTAAGGTGGAAAATGATATAGGTTAGAGGGATTTGGGGAAGGGGTTATTTAGGTTAATTAAGGAAAGGTTTAGCAAGCATTGGGTCGGGTTAGGTAGGAGTTTGGGCCTTGGTAGGTTTAGGTTTAAAAGTCGGGCTAGGTATTGGGTTAGAATTAAGGCTGAAATTGAAATAAAAATAGGCTAGGTTTTAAATAGACACTTTTAATCCTATATAATTTATAAATAATAGTAAATAATTTCTAAAAAATATTTTCATGTACTAAAATAATTTAAAATAGTTGTTTAATATTTTAAAAATATAAAAGATTATAAATTTATTAATAATGTAATTATGCATTAGTAGGGCTATTTTTGCAAAGATATGCAATCTGGCCTAAAAATGTAAATACGATTATAAAAAATGCATTAAAAATATTTAAACAATATTCTAGCATAAATAAAGAATTTAGATGACTAAATCACTACAAAAATAATTTGAAGGATAATTATTGGTAATTTTATAAGTAAAAGGGGAAGAAATAAATCAATTTGGAGCTTTTATAGAAAATTATAAAAATGCTTATGCATGCTTATAACTGCATATGTGCTATTTTGAAAGTATATAAATATGTATTAAAAATATATAAGGAAAAATTGGGTATCAACATGCCTTGCTAGTGGCATCTTGAGCCTTTTTGTTATTGAGGGTGTCACTTAAAATATTCGTATATATTTCTTCTATATATACATGGATGTATACATACTATTGCTTAGTCTCGGCAAAGCTTGTGGGTAGCATACCACCTCGTCCCTTACATTTAGATACGCCCTTATATTTCTCTTTTTACTTTTTGTTTTGTTTTGTAACTGATGAATATAAAGATCCCTTTTTAGCCATCTGAAAATTAAAAAGAAGCGTTAGACTGCGGGTCTGAAATTTTTGTAAATTCTTCCAAACGTTAGATCAGAATCTTACTTTCTGTGTGCAAACTGAAAATTATATGAGTAACGCAAGATTCGAGACTAACATCGTCCAAAATTCGAAAAACTATATTTGCACAACTTTTTAAAATAGGAAGAAAATCTAAATGATGACCTAAAAAGAGATATCGGCGAAAATCTGCCCTTGCACATAAAGAAGAAAGGGACAATACTTTGTGCGATAGAGTATAAACCATTGGATCCTATCAAAGGCCGGACGAATAAAGATATGACACGTGGAGTGGAAGATAGACAGAATGTGAATCAACAAATAGTTAATACCGGTTACAGCATGTGACCAGTGCTAGATGAATCCCGAAGACAGAGAAGCCGACGACAAAAGTTCAAAATATTGGCATCGGGTATCATCCAAAGAGCGGCTGTTATAAAGAATATCTGCATTTATAACCGACCGTCACGCTACCATCAATAACGAATTTATTTTCATTCAAGAGGAGCTTGATTTGGGGATCTTGTCTCCCTAATAGAGAAATAAATAGGAGAATTAACATCCATTGTGGACACAAAATATTCTGTATACAAAAAAGCTATATTTTC